GGGTAACAGTTTATTGATAACATTCTATAGCAGTGTTGATGTGCAGTGGGAAGATTTTGTGATTGGTTATGCGTGTTTTTTATTATTTGCTTATGTATAATATTTTGTTTTTAAACGCTATCAATATGGTCACTATAGCTGCCCGTTTTTGCTGCTGGTATGATATTATTCCTGAGTCTATAGTTTTCCGTACCTTGCAGTAAAAGCAATATTCCAAGGATGACTCATGTGTAGCTGATAAAGGAATCAACGCCTCAGCGCGAAGGATTAAAAAAAAAATTATGGTTGCAAAATACCCTACATAGGATAGATGTGTATAAGAGACAGCCTTAATGCATTACCATGCTGCCTGGGTTTGGTTAAATCAAGTCTGAAAGTGTAAATTGATATGTCATCAGAATATAGGTTTTTTTAAATATATCTCCAAACTTCTCTATGTCTGTTGGTCAGTCGGACGGTCCCTATTACGTATGCTATTTCTGTTAGTCGTATTGGTTTAGTATTTAGCAGACAGTTTCACAGAGATTGGATGGTCATTCTATTGTTAGTCTGTCAATCAGTCGGTTAATTTTTGCAGCCTTATTTCACTAAATAATACCCTTTCGGCCCTTCACAATTCACTATCTGGTTATATCACACACACACACACACACACACACATATATATATATAATATATATATATATATATATATATATATATATATATATAAACAGACATTTAAGAACCAAGCTGTTTACTGTTTTTCATGACCTTTAAATATCCAAACTATATATTTACAATGTCTCAAACCATTTTAATAAATCTGATCTATATCGAAAATTATAATTTTTTTTAAATGCCACAACAATCATAAATGTGAAATTTTAATAGGACAATGTGAATAAGCTTTCGGCTTGGAGACTTATATATTGTAAATTGTTACATTAATGGTTAAATTGTTGTTACAATAGTGGTTAATGGATTTTGTTACAACAGTGGTTAAATCATTGTTACAATAGTGGTTAATACAATTGTTACAACAGTGGTTGATTTTTGTTACAATAGTGGTTAATGTTACATTAGTGGTTGATTTTTGTTACAGCAGTGGTTAATGATACATTAGTGGTTGATTGTTACATTAGTGGGTGATACAGACCCCGCATAACTCACAATTTATTGTAGAAGAACATCCCGCGTTACCACCGATTGCATTCCAACCGCAAGAAATACGAAGTAGAAAATCGTGGCGATACAGCCAGTTGATAGCCGATCAATTCTGGAAGAAGTTTATTGGCGAATATCTTCCCAGTTTGTAAATTAGACAAAAATGGTCTAAGGAGAGTGAAAACCTAAAGGAAGGAGACGTGGTTCTAGTTATTGATAACCAAGTGCAACGTGGAGATTGGCTTGTAGGAAAGATAGTAAAGGCTTATCCCAGTGAGGATGATAGAGTGAGAGTGGTAGACGTCTGAAGTAAAACTAGATCAATGGGAATAAGTACGATATGAACCATTGTGTAGTTAAGGTGAGTTTTCAAAGACTTTCTATGATGAAGTTTTGAGTTTGTATTGTGTAAGTTAAATTTGTACTATGTTTTAATGAGATTCCCTCATTGCTGGGGGAATGTAAGATTTATAGCAAATCTTAGAGTTAACAAAATTTAAGCGCGCGTAATGCATACTGTGTCTACGTCAGGATGCCAACCTGTTGCTAACCAAGAATTTTCAATAAGTGAGTGTGTCGTAAAATGACAAGAAAATGCGAAGAAATTAACGATTAATGTTATACCAACCTGCCAAATGCTAACCTGTGTAATTTATTTAATGAGTGTATTCATTGATTGGTCAAAATTGTGCAACCTACAGTATAGAGATTTGCCTGGCAAAACAATTTAATTTAATTTGAATGATATTGACTAATATTGCCATTGACACTGATATTGCCATTGATACTGATATTGACTGATATTGCCATTGATACAGATATTGCTAGTCAGTTGACAACGTTCTGACAATGTTATAAGTTCTGGTCAGTTCTGATTGTTCTGAATAAACGAGATCATCTCAAACAGACTACGCAGGCGAAAATCAGCAGTGTTGTATCGTTGTACGACATCTTCCTTTACAATTATTTTATTTGCATTCACTTTTTAA